CGGGACCCCAATAACTCAACGCCCCGTAACTCCCCGACCCCCCCCCCGCCCCGCAGCTCAGGGCGGCCGGGGCGGCGGCGGCGGCGCCAAGAGCCTCCAGGCCCCGCGGCAGAGCAGCGCGAACCAGTAGAGCTGCGGCGCCAGGAGAGCGGCGGCCGCCGCGTTGTAGGCGGGCGGGAGGAGCGCGGGCACGGCGAGCAGCGGCGCCCCCACGTGGCGGCCGTAGGCCCAGTACAGGAACGGGAACAGCAGCACGCGGCAGCACAGGAACGTCAGCAGCGCCGCCGCGCCGTTCAGCTTGTGCAGCCACCAGCGCTGCAGGCCCAGCTGCCGCCGGAAGGGGGCGTGTAGGGAGAAAGATCACGTGTTGGATGGGGTCACGTGAGGGGCGGGGGGGACGTGGGGGAGCGTCACGTGGGGGTCACGTGTTTGGGGTCACGCGTCAGCAGGGGGGGTCACGTGAGGGGGGAGGTCACGTGATTGTGGGGGTGGTCGCGCCATTCAGCTTGTGCAGCCACAACAAGCAGTGCAGTTATGGGATCTATGGGGCAGAGGAGCGGATCTATGGGGCAGCTGAGATCTATGGGGCAGAGGAGCGGATCTATGGGGCAGAGGTGTGGGGCAGACGCACCATGATGAGGACTTTGCCCAGGCAGACGAAGGGGGTGCTGAGCTCCGCCATCAGCAGGCAGCCCACAAAGAAATCGCCCTTACCGCCGCGCCACAGCTGGGGACAGCGGGACAGAGGGGACATTGGGGACAATGGGGACAATGGGGGCATGGGGGACAATGGGGACAATTGGGGACAATGGGGACAATGGGGGCAATGGGGACATTGGGGACATTGGGGACATTGGGGACAATTGGGGACAATGGGGGACAATGACCCCCTAGCGCCCCCTAGCGCCCCATAATGACTCCATAGCGCCCCCTAGCGCCCCTAATGCCCCCCCCAGCACTCCATAATGACCCCCCAGCACCCCATAATGACTCCATAGCGCCCCTTAGTGCCCCAT